CTTTCCGCAGGCTTCTGTAGGAAAGTGTACTGCACTCATTAGCTATGACGTAGTGCTGTTTCCGTGCTCGTTTGTTGTCGTTCCTGCAAATCTTTCTGTTTTCTGAGTGCCACCAACAATTTTTTAAAGGCTGACTTTGCTACGTTGCTCAAGGTTACAAGAAATTGGAAAAGCGAAGGCGGAGGCCGATACGGCACTTCGGTTGGCATTGGCAGCCAGGCATAAACTGGCTACCCTGGAAGCGCCTTCAGCAAATTCCACAGCAGCTGATCACCAACCCGATGAAATAGGGCTCGCAAGAGGCTCTGTTACGATGGAGCAAACTGCTACGAGCCAGCGCGCTCTCTTGCTTCGCTGCATCGGGATTTACACACACTCACTAGAAAATCTGTTGGCTCAAGTGTTATCGGAGTCTGATCAGCCAGGTCGCATTGTGACGGTTGATGACGGCAACTGCCCGTGCGCAGTATACTCAATGAAGACTGGCCTATTAGGAGAGCAGGACCCAGCTTCATCAACATCGACTAACGAGAAAATTACATTCACAGAAACCGAAACACACGCCTGCGAAAGAGCGAAAAATACCAAATCGAATGCCAGGGAAGCCGACCAGTGTGCTACAATAATCAGGTTGTCTCGCCAAGTAGAAAAATCTGTGAAAGCATCCGAAGAGGATGGAAACAACTTCCCCTGCGCCGCAGCAGCAGCAACAGTGATTGCTAATATGACACTGGCTCTAATGCTGCTGCAGCAGAGGAGCGAAAGAACAGCAGCAGAATCAGCGCTCACAGCTGCGGACGCACTCATCTGGCATGTTGAGGAACAACTCCGGCTGCAGCATGTTCTTATCCAGCCAAAGTTCTCATGGACAGAAGAACATGGCGAGGACATCAAAAAGTGCGAGCCAAGCACGGAAGAGACGATGCATAAAGGGATTATGGATGAAGTTTGCCACACGCCGGCTACCCCAGTGAGCCTTCTGCACCAGGTACGGAAGGCTTTACAGACTATGCTGATCGTTTGTTAAATTAGATAGCAGAGGAGCCTTTTAGACATGCTTACGTCGTAGTTCTTGTGACACATACAAACACAAGAGAGCTCCGACATTCGATGCTTCTGTGCCATCGACCTTTGCCAATTGCTCGTGTAAGCTTTGCAACTACCTCCAGGTGCGTCTGTTTCTTCGGAAATGAGCTCATTAAAAGTCGTTATGTGCGCACCCAGAATCACAGGTTCACTTTGCCGATTGCATGTCTAGTGAACGTGTGGTTCTGGGTGCGCACATAACGACTTCAGATGCGCTTAGTTCCGAAGGAACAGACGCATTTCGAGGTAGTTGCAAAGCTTAGAATGCTGACGGGTGACTGTATTCGTTTCTTGCCCATGTTCCACTGCAGGCTAACGGGCAGTTGATGTGGAGACTGAAACAGAAAATCTGTTCTAGGCGCGCCAAATTGCTGCGTCATCAATAAGAAGCACTTGTGACGATCAGGCTGGCTCGAAAACAACAAGCAGTCTGAGGACACGTAGCAGCGTTCCTGACAGAATACTAGTTTCACTGTCATTTTAAATGCATCGTGATTGGTGTCCACCCCAGGAACCTTGGCGGTGAATGCCACTCCGTAACCTTTTTCTGCGTTAGGCGATATGATATGCTTCAATGAAATCTCTCTGCCGCAGCGGAATTCCATGGTTTGCTTGTGGCTGACTTATCCTAATAGTGGCGCTTCCCTAACACAGTTGCTGTCAAGTGCGAGACTCACGGATCCACTTCCACAAAACCCAGTTTGTTGCTGTTCGTCTTCTTATGGCGTGCCGTTGAGTACCCATCACTAGACAAGCTTTTGTGTACGCTCCACTCAGTAAAATTAACTTAGTTGAACCTGTCAAAGTTGATGACCTCCAGCATTATTCGGGGCGCACTAGGTAGGCAATGCTATGCTTCCAACACTTCTCGAGCTGTCCTTGCAAAATGGGAACTGCAGCAACTCAAAACTCTTCAGGGAGACTGCGGTCAAAAACCCACTACTCCTTGACAACACCGTTATATCTTTGTATATACCGTAGAATCAGTTGTGAACATGAACCTCCCACTGCTAATGTGGAACGAAGCCAGGCGGCAATAGTTGTGGAGAGCAAGCAAACTTTAGCGTACAGCATTGGAGCAGGAGGAAGGCACACTCTTATCGATTGAAGCAAGTAAAGCGAGCGGTGTTTCTCTCAGCGAATCAGAACTGATAGTACTACTTGTCGGTGGGCAACATGCAAGCTTCAACGCATGATATAAACGACAACGGCATAATCACCTCTGTCGCTGATGAAGCAAGCAACACAATCACAATCTACTCACTTCGTAGTGGATTGTTCGCCACGAAAAATACAAAAGGACAGCGTTGCGTTCGCCCTTGTGTCAAGAAACTGGAAGGTCTCTGTATAGACAGAGTTTGGAAGGCTTTTAGCAAACGGAAGCGTGCATCCCCATACATTGAGCGACTCCTATACGTTTGCAAGCCTACAACTATTTCCGATACAATAACGCGAGAGAAACAGAACCTTACCTCGGTGTGCACATAAACCAAACTTGTAACTGCCCCCACTTCCGTCCGTTGCACCTGAAGTTAGCCTCGTTATCTGGGAGATGCGCGGAGTCACAACATTCTGCGTCCCAGCCAGCCTTAAAGAAGTGTGTGTCTCATAATAAACTTTATTCTCGGTTCACTGCACAGTGCCCCGGCCAACCGGCCAATTCAGACCTTGTGTAGCGGAGACCAAGCGTCTTCTGCTGCTCTCCTCAGGAGACTTCCACTTGCGCGTTAACACGCAGCCAGCATCTGCATTTAAGAGTCGGTCTGCGCTTTATACTTTCCAGTGCAGCGCATTTCTCTAGTTGCAGGACTATCCACTTCGATTCAAAGTGGCGAGGTTCTTGGTTGCATTTCTTCGTTAAGGAGCTGATTTGCCGTCATTCGAAAGCCTAAAAAGGGCTAATACAGAGCAGACGAGGTAACTTATTCGGCAAATCAGCAAGTGGGTGACCAGCTCCAGCAGGTACGCACTTTCGACACCAGCGGATTGCCACAATACCTTGGAGAACTTCAGAACATCCGCCTACAGGGAAAAATATTTGGGTTCACTGATTACTAGAAGGCATTGCTTCTACAGAATATCAAAGCATCAACTCCAAAATTTCATTGTCGAAGTTTTTTCGTATCCATCTACCACCCATCGCGTAGTGCTTGATATGCATCTCCCACAATTTACTTGTTAGTCGCACCCCGGCTCATTCAGCACTAAGCATAGTAATAGGAGACCTCACGAAGCTACGACTTTCGTTCAAAGCCGCACCGAGGTCAGCCCGCTATTCCCGCCAAAGAAACACGACGTCCAGCATTAGCGTCGCTGAATCACTGCAGTCCACCGCGGCTTTAAGGCCATCTAACGGCCCGGATAAGAAGGCGAAAAGAATACCAAGTTTATTTGGCCACCTGAAGGAGAGGCAGCACGTTAGATTTACGCAGAGGTCTCAAAGCGAACAGTCCCTATCGCCGTGGACCGCGTGCTGCCCTGGCACTCTGCACACGAGTTGTACCTAAAGCTGGCCTACCACGGAAAGACTTTGCGTTAAAATTACAGAACCTTTACTGGAAACACCCGTAACTTTGAAGTTCTTGTGTTTCGCTGCTGCATATATCTGCTGCGTATCGAAGCTGGTCCGTGCATGCCTGTGGCGGGCAGCCCCTTGGTTCAACGATTCAGAAAGTCATCAACAGCGATCATATTTCTTGAAACTGAAATACAGTAGAACAGATACGGCGATTAATGCGTATACAAGTTTTTTCAAGGACGACTACGTTCACCCCCGCCTGTGCAAAGCTCCAGTAGTTCCCAGCGAGCGGCATGTCATTGAAACGTGCGCTTTATTTCACCTTATTGGCTTCTAAAACACCAGAGTAGAAGAAATAGATTTCAGTCTAGTACAGTCAGTGGCATCAGCAAACAAACGGTCACGTGTCACCAGCCGTTTACAGTGTAGATAGGGGAAAGAACCCCGCATGCGGATATACACAGTTTGCTGTAGCGCAGTTCGTAGTGCAAGTGCAACACATAGCCATGTAATCAGAATGTGTGGACGCACCACTCATAGGGCCAGGAGTCTAAAAAGGCTGGGGGAGAATCCAGCAGGCAATTCGAAAATGGCGAAGATATACCAAATTGTCGACGTCAAACAGTATCGTCAAGAGAGCGACAGGGTGCGCCATCAGCCAAACCTTCACCTCTAGCTGATCTTATATACAGAGAAGCTGTCATTCAGAGGCTGTTTAATGATCACTCTGCATGCAGCGGAACGGGGGATGAGCGTCTGGCCGTAGTTCCTTAGCACAGGGCAGCAGCTCTATACATTTACAGCATTTCGTGCAGGACTGCTTTTGACTATGTTTCAACAGGACCTATGGTATGTTCTTTTCGAGCATGAGAGGGAACGTGGCTACACCTGGCAGCCGACGGTAAGCCAGCAACAGCATCCTCTCGAAGCGCCTTGAAGCGCTGGGATATCAAGTGACAACGCATTATGGCATTATGTATGGCGTTTCTTTTTTCAGAGCGTCCTAGGTGTTATCCCCAATGATCTTCGTCACAAAATGCTGGTAATGAGACGCAAGTAAGGCGAGTTGCAGCTCCAGTAGATCAATTTTATGAATTTTACCTCCTTGACGTTTTGTCACAGGTGAGGCAGCCATAGTCGCTATGTTCGTCAACTATTAAAGGCCAAAATCCGTATGAATATTTGTTGTTTCTGTTGCTACTCAGATGGATAACTTCCACCGAACTTAAACATCAGCTAAAAGTCAGACTTCTTTGGCTACTGTCTGGATTCTGCCTAGCCAGCATGGCATGCACAGGAACTGAACGCTGGCGTGAAACTTTAAACGATCCGTTGGCTTTTCGAGCCTTCCAGGTAACGCTACCCATCTGCTGGTGGATCATTCTAGGCATTGGACTCAGTGGCATCTCAATTTGGCAGGCGTTACGCCTCTCACAGTATCCACTTCCTCATGTATGGCCCAGAAGCTCTCGCTTAGCTCAAAGCAGTTCAGGAAGAGATCGGCCACCATTGCCAACACGTATCCAACCTGAGAGAGCCTGCAGAAAACGTTGACCGTTTTTCGCGCCACGTGAGAGGGCCTGCAGAAAACGTTGACCGTTTTTCGCTCCATTTCGTCGCCTGCTATGGACAGAAGAGGTCAAGACATTAAGGTGTCTCCCAGAGTTGCGGTTCCCCTGATAAACGTGACGGTTGATGTCTACAGCTGTTCGTATCTCCACTGCTTCCATCTAAATGCACATAGGATTTCAAGTACGCGGCCCTCAAGACTGCGGGACTAATTTGTTTTGCCCGAAAAACAAATGCCTGAATTGATTCAGAGTGAAGCCAGCTTCATATGAAAGAAAATACTGCATACTGAATAATTCCAAGAAGCTGATGCACTCATTGAATGCAGAAATACTTCACTGGCCGTCAAGTGATTTGTAGATTATCAATGCAAAGTGTGTAAGCAGATCTAACTTGAGCACTGCTTTTGCACGATAATGGTAGCTGTGCTCTGCCCACAGAACCGTGGGAATTTTATTGCATTGGGTAGTACACAATCCACCAAAATTTTTAATAATCTTCTTAGTGAGCATCTTCATGAAACACACATCGCTGGCATTTCACAGCACGCAAAATTCATGAGTGCGCTCCTTCCTGTTATGGTTATAAGCCAAGAAAAACCTGGACACGCAAGGAAGTATGGGAAAACCAACCTAATGAGGCTAAGATTCGGCCTTTGGGATATGAGCTCTGATTCGGTTTAGGCTGTTCAAATGATTAAAAGAGAGTAATACGCTCTAATTTCAGATCTTCGGCATCTAGCTTAGCTGAGATTAGAGCTGTGAAGCTTGCTTGGACTCAGTATGGGGTTCATGCTCACCCCGAGCAATCAGCCTTAAGGCGCTAGAGACTTCCTCTTCTAAATTTTGTTATATTGTAGGTAGAATGGATGTTGGTTTCACGTAGACTACAAGATGTTTCATGGCCATGGGTACGCCCGATAAGACGCACGAACGTATCTATGAGTTGCCAATACTCTTCTCAGTAAATGCATGTGATATGCTCGGCAAACGCTACATAGCAAATGTTTCTACTGAAAGGCATCGCAAAATTTCTCTTTGAGGGGAGGGAATCAAGTTGGCATAAGCCAGCTACACTGTGAGTAAAGTGCACAAAGCTGTAATGAATGGCTATGAGAGGGCTTGATGGAGCTGTGTCAAAGCTCCAAGAACGAAATCGATTCGCAGTAGGTGTGAAGTGCGGGTTCTAAATTCGGCTGTAGAATGGATTCACGCACTGAGGCTGTCTGAGGCGAAAGGAAGCCTAGAGAGAAGCTGCAGGTAAGTTGTCGAAATTATAGTATACTTAGCACTTTCCCAGGCAATGCGGTAGGTATGCCCTCAAGGCCCGTGCGTACTGAAATAGTCCCACTTAATGGATAGAGGAACGACACTTGTTTGACTTATTGGCCACGAACTCTCAAAGCCGAACGTTGTCTACATTCCCGCCCGACACTCTTTTGAAAATAAACGTCCCCCTTCCTGGCAGATTGGATCCTCTAGCAGTGACATATTCCATAGTAGGACATCACGATACAACACTCCAAACGTTCGTCCATAGTAGTACATCACGATACAACACTACAAGCGTTCGTCATGTCACGCATTACCTCATTTATAAAATTTTGGCGCCCTCACGTGGTAAGATCCCAGTCCCCCAATGTCTGCAACAGTACCTGCTCATGTTTTTGAAGAGCACACAAATTCCTCTGTTAGCTTCACGACTTCATACCTCCACTTAAAAAACCATCAAACACATACACAAATTAATAGGGCAGCATGTCTAATTTACGAATTATAACACACACTGCAATGTGAATCAGTAATCTTAGGATATTCACACGCAACGCTTCCAGGGTTTCACGAAGCTGTGGTGTACATCATGTTTCATCCTTCATCAAGAACAAAGCTCAATTATTTACACTTCTCAACAATGAAGCTAATTGAGCATAGCACAACGTGCGACTAATTGACTGAAAGATTAACCTGACATTGCGTGATTTGCTGAGTTTGCAAGAGTGCGGAATCTCTGAGAGTTGGCGTTAGACCGATAGGCATAGCATAACAGCGCCAATTAAGGGTTCTTATTTAGAAGCGTCGGAATGACTCAGCCAACTGCAGCAGGGATATTTCATACGGTTTACCCTCTCCGGGTGTCCTATCGCGCAGCCTGTGCAGTGAAGATGGTGGCGACACTTAGGAAACGAGGCTCACACGATCACGGTTGGCCAAGCCATAGCTCGAGGAGTCATGCATGCGTGATTCTTTGAGATATCGCTCAGGGCGCCTCCCGTGTTCGTGGAGAGTCCGGCGGAGCTGCCCCAGCGCAATAGCAAGTTGTCTTCAAAAGAAGGCCCCCGCTTGAGTGCGGCTTTTTCTAACGGTCAGGGCAGTGGCAGCCCAGAAAACGCTTGAAGGCAGAGGCATATGGTACAACGTTGATGCATTCCACATGTTTTGCCAAAATATGACCCAACGAGTATCCGCCAAAACAGAGAAAAACAGACGACGTTGGACAAACCTTTAGTAACCTGCATGCCAAGGATGCGATTGGCGCCAACTCTCTAGAGCCCTGCCGTAGGAATTCCAAAATCGTGGCGCCCCCGGGTACTCTGGGAAGGCCTACAAATGCCTTCAACACTAAGAAAGGCAGGAAAAAGCAGTCCTCTCCACAACAGCGGCGAAGGGCGTGGGCAAAAGAAAACCACACCTCGTCACGGCATGCAACAACCCTGAGGGTTCAGCACCTGTCTTCCATAGTTAAGCTTTCGGCTTTTCGGAGTTGATTTGCAGGATAGTTTGCGCTTGAGTTTTATGAAACCCGAATCGAATTCATTAACTAATACTGAGTGCGTATCCAAGCCGGACACTAGGCTACATTCATAGGTTACTGCTTTAGAGATTTGTGGAGAAAATGTGACATCCAAAAATTGTGCGGCTAAGGCTATATTCCTAGGTTACTGCCTTGGAGATTTATGGAGAAAATGTGACGTTATGAAGCGCAAACAGCTTGTCGCTTCTTATCGTTGCCTATTGCCCCTCTGAATATTTTGCCATTTTTTGTTGCTTGCCGTTACCCTGGACCGTGAGAATCCCTGCACTATAGTGTAGTACGCTGTGCGCTTATGGACTTGAATGATTAAACCTCCAAGCCCGACTTCCTCCCTTCAGATTAGCGGTAAAATCTTATATTAGAGTCAGTCAAATACGTCTGGGAGGTCTTCCCAGGTCTGTATCTAGAAATCTACTTGTGTCGGTGCCGTGCTCCGGCACCTCAAGCAGGCCACCAGCGGGTGGACGAAGCCTCCAGCTCAAAGGAAACCATTGTAGTATATGCGAACTACAACCTCCCCTATTCCTATCTTGAGCTTGTCCTCTTGCTAACTCCTCTAGACCTTAAGCCTCCAATGCGCTTGTTTGTATTAGTCCTACACACTGTTTCCACGTGTATGCGAGTGAAAAGTGGCCTACGGATCATTGCTACTGTTATACAGTATGAGGTTTAGATTGTGTTTATGCGTGGTTTGGATTCTATTTATTTACTTGCTTTCCCCCTTGTTGTTGTGAAGAGCCTGTAAGGTCATGTTAGGAGGTCACTGGCGCATTCATACACATAGTCACACATTTACTGCGCTAATTCACTTTAGTCTTCATTCTGTACTGCCTCCCTCTTGTCACTTGCGGCACGTCTGAACACTATCCTTATCGGAACCCTCATGCGATGGTGCCAACTATGCAGTCACTATCTAGTTGTTGTGAAGAGCCTGTAAGGTCATGTTAGGAGGTCACTGGAGCATTCATACACATAGTCACACATTTACTGCGCTAATTCACTTTAGTCTTCATTCTGTACTGCCTCCCTCTTGTCACTTGCGGCACGTCTGAACACTATCCTTATCGGAACCCTCATGCGATGGTGCCAACTATGCAGTCACTATCTAGGTGCACATGCCGTCGCATGAGCACTGCTGGCCCACCGCTGCACAACACAAAGACTGCTGCAGAGGTGTCCTACACGGAGAAACGGCAAGAACCACCACGTGTTTAACAAAGCGAAGCAAGATGGAACGGAACAGGGGATGATGGAGGGCTGAACGCTCTGTGAGCAGCACGAGCGGGGTGTTCGGGATACTTAGGGGTGTCGGGAGGTGGACAGGAAGTCTGGGCCCGTTATTGTCCGCGCTGGCAGCGCCTCCACGCGCTTGGCGAGGCTGGGCATCCAGCCAGGTAGGTGGTGAGCAGGCTCCCATGTGGCGCGGTCCTCAGGTGCGCCAGCCCACTTGAGTAGGTACTGCGCCTTATCATCTGAGCCCTGCTGATCAAGCATATAATATATAATGTACTGATCCCTAAGATTGCTTACTGCGTCACGGTTAGGCGGGCACCGCACGGTAGCTTCGTGGTGAACCAGGTCCGGATTGAGGGGTCCCTAAGGGACTAACTGCGACACGTGGAAAACATTGTGACACTCCTAGGTAACCGGCAGAGCAGGGCGGCAGGCCCTCGATACGCTCGGTGATCTCAAAGAGGAGCCGGTACGCCGGTTCAAACATAGGACACGGCGGGCAGGTGTTCGCTGCTCAGCAACGCCTTGCCTCCCAGTACATACTCCACTGCTCGTCTTTTAGTATCCCCGTATCACTTAGCTCACATGATGCGGTCCAGTGCTGTGTTGCTTAGCCGGCGGAAAAGCTGACCGCAGCGGAACTCGACACTGTTGGCGCTTTAGCTCCTGCCCTCATTTCCGCCCTCACAAAGTGAGTTCTCATCAACCATTATATCGAAGGGTGAGGGCTCAGTTGGGGTTTGGCTTGTGGTCTTGTAGGCAAGCCATATGGCAGGAGGGGCTGCCATTTCCGATCGTGGGATTGAATGTAGTTCTGCAGCATTTGCTTTAGACCGCGGTTCACTCTTTCTGTTTGGCCGTCGCTCAGGGGATGGTAGGATGGCGACAGCGCCCGAGAGATGTCGAAGCGGTTGCATAGTTTGAGCCACAGATCCCACTGGAGTCGAGGATCACGATCAGAGAGGAACGTGTCTGAGAATCCACGACAGCGAATAAGTA